GTGTCTGTGTGTCTGTGTGTATGTGTGCGTGGTTGACAGGCACAGTGCACTGTGCTCCATCTTGTGTGGCCTGCTTGCCCCCCAGAGATCAGTGCATTTGGTTCTCTTAAAAAAGAAAAAAGCATTCTGCTGTACCAGATTGGATGATGACCTTTAGACTCTTTGAATTATGATTTTCCTTATTTCCTCTCTTTTTCCTTCTTCTTTTGACCTTTTCTCTGTCTTTCTCTCATTTATACTTGTATCTACCAAGAGCCATTATGTTTGCAGTTGGTTATGTTTTGTTGGGTTGACCCCCCCTCCCCCCCTTCTCTCTTTGTCTTCTCTTTCTTCCGCTGTTGTTTTTGATTTTTGTGTTTGGTAGAGGGAGGTTGTGCAGGTGGCATGTGTTTGGTGAAGCTCACTGTGTTCTCCCTCTGTAGAATAACTTCATCAACTTGAGTTTCCTGAGGCTGTTCAGAGCAGCTCGCCTCATCAAGCTACTGAGACAGGGAGAGACCATCCGCATCCTGTTGTGGACCTTTGTCCAGTCCTTCAAGGTATTCAGTCATTAACAGATACACACATTATGTACATATGGTCACAATATACAGTATAAACTCTTATACATATTTCCCCTCTCTCCATCGCCTCTGGTAGGCTCTGCCTTACGTCTGCCTGCTCATTGCCATGCTTTTCTTCATCTATGCCATCATCGGCATGCAGGTGAGTACTGCCTATCTGCCTTTTTGAATTTTGGATTTGATATGTTTTTGGATTGTTATATGATGTTTTGGGATTTAATTGTTTAGCTGGGAAGGTCAGTAAATGGGTGAACAGTATGTAAAATCCAGCGATGTAAGAAAGATTTACATCCTATACCTAAATAAACCAATACCATCGTGTAGAAGTACATTACAAATCACAAGTAATTAAAGAACAAAAGTAAAAATACAGTAGTATAAGCAGCTAAATGTCCTTAAGGCCTAAAACAAAAGGAAGGTACTTCTTGTGTAGAAACACTAGTTCCTGCATATTGTCATGCTCGACTATTATTTTTGTATTGATGCATTAACATGTGCGCAACATTTTAATGTTGTAGCTGGTTGAGGAGCTCACTTTAATATTTCATGTACTGCAAAGTGGTTGAATTTATACAAATATGTGTTTAAAATCGGCATCAGCAAAGTAGCTAAAGCTGTCAAATATAGGGAGTATGGTTAAAATATTGACCTCTGAAGTAAAAGCATGAATTTAAAAACTCAAGTGAGGTACAATAACTCAAAATAATTTAAAATTCATTTAAAAAACATGTTCTCACTGCATTGTTTCAACTTTGCCATCAGTGTAGAATGTGCACTAATGTTTTCCTTTCTTGTGGTGCTTTCTTTTTCCACTGTTTGTGTCTGTAGTTGTTTGGGAATCTGGCACTAGATGAGGAGGGAGAGAGTGCCATCAACGAGCACAATAACTTCAGAACCTTCATTATGGCCCTCATGCTGCTCTTCAGGTGAGTCTTGTAAATGTAAAAATCAAGCCACAGAATTAGTAGTTTTCCAGCAGCAACCCTTAATTAGGTGCCATCACACACTGCCACTTTCCTATTCACTGCCACTGTAACTGAAGGGTGATCATATTTAGATTAATGTGATTTACCAAATATATATATATTGTGTATACATGTTTAATATCATGGAAACAAAGTCAAATCCCAGATCGGCTCCATAGCAACATACTCTCTTAATATGAGTTGATGCTGACCACTGATGCCTCTTGAACATTACTGTCTCTCTTAGGTTTGTGCTCACTCTTTCATGTTTTGCTGTGTGTTTCCCCTCATGCAGGAGCGCTACGGGCGAGGCGTGGCATGAGATCATGTTGGCTTGCCTGGGTGGTAAAGAATGCGACCCGGCCTCAGGGAACACAGAACCTGAATGTGGCAGCACCTTCGCCTACACCTACTTTGTCTCCTTCATCTTCCTCTGCTCTTTCCTGGTGAGAAAAATACACAGAATGTCCCTTTAACCAGTTACATAAATAAAAACATACATTTATGTGTATTTTTAATATTAAAACCAATTACTTCTTTTTGAAATAAAACTATATAAAACAGATTTTTTTAGATTATATATATTTCTCAAACATCCCTCCTTTCCTGATGTTACTTCATAGCGTTCAAAGGGTGGATTTATTATTTAATCCTGGATACCGTTTTCCGAGATGGCTAAAAAAGTTTGCTACTGCGTTGTGTAGCCAACAACACGTGTGTCTGACGTGTTTCATTGAGCCAAACTCGTCCTTTATCCAGATGCTGAATCTGTTTGTGGCCGTCATCATGGACAACTTTGAGTACCTGACCAGAGACTCCTCTATCCTGGGGCCACATCACCTGGACGAGTATGTAAGGATATGGGCCGAGTACGATCCTGCTGCCTGGTGAGTGGCACACACACACACTCATACACACACGCTGTAGAAGTCATACAAATACAAATGCAGAAATACACACGTCAAGCAGCAAAAACAAGGTGACACAAACACACAGTGCTCATGTGTAACGTAAAACTAAGTTAGCAACATTACACTTTAGATGTGTCTACACACATTTGGATAGTCGTATGCTGAAGGTAAAATTACTCTTAACCCCTGACTTTCTCTCCCGTCCCAAAACGGGGCAAAGACTGGTGTCATGATCTCATCCAAAAAGTGTTATGATGATACAGGATCTTCATCAAGTGATGATCTACATCATAGATGATGTTAAAAGTGGGTCAGTTAAAGCTGGCATGTCAGAGCAAAGAGTTATCCAGCTTTCTCCTTGTCTTTCTCTCTGAACTTTTCTACCTTGTTTCTCAAATTGCACAATTTGTGCACAGTTGAGATGAATGTAACCCTCTCCTCTTCCTCTTGTCCCCCTCTGTAATGAGTGTGTGTGGGCATGCATGAGAGGAAGGTGTCTTACACCTCTTTTTCTCAGTGTAAATAAATGCTCTCTCCTCTTCATCTTATCTCCTCTTTTTCTCCACTCTCTTTATTTCTTTATCTCTCTCTCTGTATTCTGTGTGTTCCCTCACCTAACCTCCCCTCCTTGTATTTTTCTTGCAGCGGGCGCATACATTATAAGGATATGTACAGTTTATTGCGAGTTATCTCCCCTCCCCTGGGCCTTGGCAAGAAATGCCCACATAGGGTGGCCTGCAAGGTTTGGACCAAACCCCTAAAGCACAAACTTAAACGCAACCTGCTCGCCTTTAAGAGACTGGAATGAATGTCGCTCTTTATCACTTTTAAAACAAATTCTTTCCTACTTCAACTTTTTATTTCATTTGGTTTGATTTTTCTGTTTGGGTTTGCATTATTACGTTGTTTTAATCTCATTTCACCATTGAATCATTGTTTTTTTGGGGGGGGTTTCTGTTGTATATGCATTCTGACATGACAATGAGAATGTTTGGGACAATGCAGAAATGCACACACACACTCTTGTACACACTCACACACACGCACACACCAAGAGCGGTGTGTGAAGCATGAGGTGGTGCACTGCACTCGCTATTGTCTTCTGACTGAACGCTGGGAAAATGACACTGATGTGTTCACTTTTAATTCAGTATTATGTAAACACTAGAGTCTAGACTCCAGTCAGCCATTGTCTTTGATTTATGCTTGCTGTCTAATTTTGCCTGGGCAGAAAATGGTCGAGCAATGTGCATTGTTCTTGTTTGAGTTGGGGTTTGGGTGAAGGACGTAGGGTTACTTTAGCACAGAGACGTATGCAGAGAGGGCTTGGTCTGAATACTCTCATAGCTGGTAGCTCGGCCAGTGTTTTCCCGCCATGTGTCATCAAGGCTCCGTAGTCTGCAGGCTTTGATATAGTCACTCACACAGCTAACGCCAAATAAAGCAGCTGATATCAGCACCCGTGGTGATTGATTGGAATGACAAACTGCAGCTTTTTCTGCCTCCATGGCACATGTTTGTGAACCACTGTGCTAAGCATTCTGTAATGTTTATTTTTTTGAAGGTAAAAAGGTTTTAAAGCCACTATGTGTAGATATTTTATTATGTCTTTTTTTAATATTACCACTGACATCCAGAAATCCTACACACAGTGGCTTTAAGCATTCAAGGTATTAAAAACAGTTGTTAGGCCTGTTACAAGCTCTTCTTAAAGAGTGCACACAACAATACACAGGGTAATACACACAGTGCCCTTTACAATATACTATGTCCAACTTGTGACACATCACTAAATCTTGCAGCAGTATCATGCTGAACTACCAGTGAGGAAGTTATTTTCTGTAAAAACAAATTTAAATATAAAAAACTTAAATCTTTAACTCACGGGGATCTACCATAGCTTACATCTTCTTCTCACGGTACTCTTGTGTACAAAAAACCATTCCTCCAGTCTCGGATCGCATTGACATCACTTCCCCTGTGTGCCTTTGTTATGTAAGCAGAGGGCTTGTGTTTCCCACATGCTTGTGTTGGCACACCTTGAGTGGAGCATGTAACAGGCCTTATGGTAACAGTTTATATTCACTGAAATACTACAATGATATGGCCAAACCTGCTCTGTTTGTGGCTCTGGTGTATGGGGAAAGAAGGAAAGGGGCAGGGTGTGTGTGTGGTTTGGGGCAGGGACTCTGGACTTCAAAAAGGTCTTGTGTCCACCAGGTCCCTCTTAATAACTTCCTGTGTCGACAGATGCTCGTGGGAAGAATCGTCGGTCTTCTGCGTTTGCTTTATGACTGTCAAGATGGTTTTTAAGGTGCTGCAGTCTTTGGCTTAGAAATGGTTAAAAGATCAGTTCAACTAAATCATAAGAAAAAACAATAAAAAACATATTTTACAACTTACCCCTGGTGATATATAACCATGCAAATGGTTTCAGCTGTATATGCTGAGGCTTTGAGACATTGTGTCTGTTCCAGTACCCACATTTGCTTTATTTGAGAGTAGTCGAGTGCCTTCTTAAGAGTATTAATATTTATATATTGAATACATTTATATAGTAGTATTTATATATTATATATGTATTGCAGTTATTTACAATCAAATGAGGAGATGATAGATCATAGGAGACTCAGGACCTGGGAGGTAATAAAACAACTAAAGTGAGTTATCTAGAACCACATAGATAACATCCAGGCAACAATACGATTTTCTCAAAAAGCGTTTTTTGTGCTATTGGTCGTACTTCACTTGTTGTCAGAGCTGTGAGACCAATAATGTGACCGGCTGAGTGCATTAATCCCCACACACCTGTTGTTGCGCTTGTATGATTAAAGTCGCTAGTCCCACTGAATCTGTTCACAGTGAGGTCTACGGACTGGGACACTGTTTCAGTGCTGTGAGCACCATAAGCTATATTTCATTCATTCCTCCATTGTATTTGAAGTGGAGACAGACATCTCAAACCCTGGCCACTTAAGCCTAAACTATCTGCATAGCGAATAACCACAAGAAGTAAGTGACAAAACATTTTTTTGGGTTAAGGTGAACTGACCTTCTAAAAGCCAAGACCTGCACTGTTGGGGCATCCCAACCCTTCCTGTCATCATCAGGGAGGTCTCCCATGAACACCTGGAGTCGCAGCTGTGGGCAGAGGTTCCTGGTGGACACGCAGCCTCAGTGACAGACTGCATTGACTTGTCATTGTGACTCACTCCGATCTCTGCAGCGGTGCTTTTCTTTGCCTGCTAGAAGCCCCGCTGCCAGTTCTATCCGAGCGGCGAAAGAGGGCAAAGACCTAAAAATCCCAAAGCCCCTTTTCACCTCGCATAGAACGGTATCTCAACAACAACTAACTAAACTAAATAACACCTCCTCCTTCAACCCTCCTCTCCTTCCCCAACCTTTCTCCCTCCCTTCCTTCCTCTCCTCTACCTTACTTTATGATATACCAGACTAGAAGCCACGTAACACACCCCCTCGTTCTCTCTCTTTCTCTTTCTTTCTCTCTTTCTCTCACCACAGCAACCACATATCCACAACGATCAAAACAATAACCTCTGTGTATTTGTTTCCCTCCCTCTTCCTTTCCTTTGTTGGTTTCTTTCTTTTTTCTCCTCATGTCTCCTCCTCCAAACACACCTCTGTGTGTCCTCCCCTCTCCCTATCCCTCGCTGTTTTTCTTTTTTCGTTTTTACGTCGTCCGTCTACGTTTGTTCTGTCTGTTGTGTGTGTGTGTATGTGCGGATGTTTGAATGCATGTGCGTGTGTGATGTGTGTGTGTGTGTGTGTGTGTGTGTGTTTGTGGCCACCCCAGCGGCCGGATCACTTACACAGACATGTATCAGATGCTAAGACACATGTGTCCGCCGCTAGGCCTCGGGAAGAGGTGTCCCGCCCGGGTCGCCTATAAGGTAGACTCGCCCCCCACCTTACCCCTCCACCCCCCTCAACCACCAACCCACCTCCTTCTGTCCCTCCCTTCTCCCATCATTTCTTTCTTCCCTACTCTTTCCCCTCCCATCTCCGTCCTTAAACCTCCCCATCGCTGGGGAGGAGAACCTCTTCTCTCTGTCCCCCACTCCCTTTCCTCCTTCTCCTCCTCTCCTCCACCAACCTCCTTCCCTCCCTCCCTCCTCCCAGCGATGTTCTCCTCATTGTCTGTTAGTGGTGGTTGTGGTGGTGGTGAGCGCTGTCCTCTCTCCTCTCTCTCCGACCGCGGGGATGGAGGGATGGGCTTTTGTCGTGCAGTGAAGTGAAGTGATAGTGGAGTGGTAGTCAATCCTCTTTCTTTTATTTCCTCCCGTCAGGCCGCAGGAGTAAGGGAATGGAGGAGGCTTTGCTAGTCCTTCTGCAATCTGCACGGACGCATGCACAAACACACACCCACAATCCAGTCAGAAAACCAAAGACAGAGCACAGATCTGACAAAGAATTTCTCCTTTTCCATAACAAACGAAGGAACTTAGAAAGTAAGAAAACTTCCTTTGATAGTTTTTAAATTGATGTTTGCATATTTTACCATACTGCATATTGCAGTATAAGTACATGATCTTAAAAAAGAATTCTTAAAAAAATCTCTACAGCCTGTTTTGTTCAACCATTCAATATTTTTTGCATAAACTAAAGATTTAAGGCAAAACTATAATACAAAAAGTATAAATATAACTTTATTGGGACACTTTTTCTCATTATGTGGTATAGGTATTATTATTTACTACTACATTTTAAAAATAACATTCTTTAAAGGACCCCAGGATAACCAATTGCTTGTGGTAATTACTGATGTGAGCATATATATGGAATTATGTATGCTAAAATAAAAATATAGTTTACACAAGCCATTGTTTCACCAAAAACATAAATAATTTGTTCATATAAATATTTCTAGTGTAGAGGCCAACATACAACATCTAACGTGAGATTATTTTAACCAGGTTGTATTTACACAGTGCAAATATTTGCTTACGATGCGGGTACAGAAGGACCGGCAAGGGTTTCTGTCTTCAGTCCTCTGCGTCTCTTATTCCTGTGGATGGCACTATAGTGCACACATACACATACCCACAATACCACACACACACACACACACACACACACACACACAGTTCTGGCCCTTCTAGTTTTTTGTCTTTTTTCAAGATACTTTTTTGACACCCAAGGAAACTTCAGTGTCTTTGGCTTCTCTTTGTGCCTCAGACCACTAGGGTAAAGATTTGGGTCGAGTTTTTCAGCATCCGCTGTCTCTTTGTCTTGTTCTTCACGCTTTCTCTCCACTACAGTAGAGTCCTACTCTGTCGATCTTCTCTTTCTTATTGGCATCCAGATTCACCAACCATGTACTGAAAAGATGATTTGGGGCCTTAGGTGTTTCAGCAGAAAGTTCCCTTAATTTTGCTGATCATGTTTGTGGTGCCAATAAGCTTTGAAAAGAAGCACCACAAAGCAAATATCTTCATTACCAAATGTGTGTGCATCAGCTGTAAAAGCTAATGTACTCAAGCTAATTGATACAAAAGTTATTTAAGTAAAATAAATAAATAGATAAATAATTAAATAATATATATATTATTTAATTACATCGATTTCCAGGTTGCAGTCCTTGACAGTTTTTGATGCTTGGGGCTATGGACAGATTTTGGTTAGTACCAAAAGAGTATTATGTTTGATACCAAGTCCTACTAAAGAAGTCACTCTCCTTACTCGCCTAACTTGCAAGTATGTTATCTGCATAATATTCTAACCAACCTCACTTTGACAAAGTAAAAATATTCTACCACATAATACTCATTATGTGTGGTGAGAAATGGTTGACTTAGATTGAATCTGGGTGTCAGTACCCCATTCACCTCTGTCTCTCCTTCTCTAACTATTGTCTTTTTATTTCTTCTTTTCTACTTTCTTCCTTTTTCTACTGTTTTTCTCTCCTCTTCACTGCTTTGTCTTATCTTTTACTCACATGTTCTCTCTTCTTTCCTACCTGACAGCTTTCTCTCTCTGTCATTCTTCTGTCCTTCTTCTGCGTCCACTTGTCCGTCAGCAATCAGCATCCATCTTCATTCCTTCATAGCATCCCTCTATCCACCTAATGCCACTCTGTCTCTACCTTGCCTCTCCTTTCTGTTCCTCCTTCCTTTTCTCCAGAATGTCAACCTGTATTGGCAGTGGCCCCCATCACATACTTCAGCCATCAAAGCCTTCCAGTATTCATTGATACAGTTTCACAGAAAAGGTCCATAAAAGGACCTTTTAAGATCAGAAAGTCCTCATGATTTTTTTTTTTCAGAACAGAGAGGGGAAGGTTAGACATCTTGATACTGATCATCTTAATGCTGAGGCAAAGATCTTGATCTTCCCTTTAGTGGACACTAGGCCTCACACTTACTGGAAAAAGTAGTTTTGATAAATGTGTATCGTTACAACAACTTGTTTTTTGAACTGACCTCTTCTCAGTAAACTTATGTCAGTGTTGTTTTTAGTCCTCGTCTTTATCTCTTGTCTTGTTCTGTAATTTTGAGCCTCTCTCTTTTCTTTCTTTTCTATCTACACACACACACACACTCAGTTCCTCTCTCTGTTAATTCCAATTGACCCTCGTTCTCTTTCAGTGTTTTCACGATCCTCCTCTCCCTCCTCATTCTCGCCCTTCCCTTTTTATCTGTAACTACATCTCATAACCAAGCTTAGAGTCGCCTAGTTTAACTCAACTAACTGCTGCCCCTATCATGTGTCCCCTTTGATAGACCCCCATCCCCTTATCCTACACTACTACTATTATGAAGTCTGGTTGGTCCAAAACAAAAACAGAAACAACGTCAATCATCTCTTTTTGATCTTCTCTATGATTTTTTTTTCTTCTTTCAGGGAATGCCACAACTCTAATCCTCTCTAACTCTGACAACCCCTTAAGACACTGCACCCGTTTGGCATTGAGAGAGATCTTGATATGAATATCTTCCATCGCTGTTCAATTTGACTTTGATAAAGGGAACCATTCATGTAAAAATGTACAGAGCGAAAAAAAGATATGAAATGAATCTGTCAATCAGTAGGATCAATCCAGTTGGATTGAGGATACTCTCTTTGCGCGGATGCACGGCTGCTTGTATTGTGAAAGTGGGTTTTGAGGGAATTTGGGGGGTAGTGGGCTGGGTACTTGGGAAGAGTTGGGGCTTAGATTATGGGAGTGAAGTTAAGGCATGTTGCATGCTCTGTGTGTCCGGGTTTTTTCTAGGGGGAGTGTTTTGTGGTGTTGCATGCAATCCTCGCACTCTCTGTCGCATGGCTATGGGCGACATCGAGCCTGCCTGCTGCCTGCCGAGCGCTGTGGATGTTGGCCGATGCCCTCCACCTGCCGAACACTTGGCTTTGGGCATGCCCGACACTCGCACACACTCAGGAACACACGAGCACGTACACAACCCCACCGCCATTGTACTGCCGTGCTTGCCATCGTTAGTGCCCAACGCTCATGTTCGTAGGTAAATCCGATGGATGCCAACTGGTTGGGATAGGAACGGCAAGCGGCCCCAGCTGGCCCAGCTTGTTTCGTTCTATCCACAGGTTTCTCCATTGGTTTTACCTGGTATAGACATGTAAAGACAGGGAACCTCCTTACAGGTAGGGGGAGCTCTATAGAAGATGCCTCAGTTAAATAAAACAACTGCAGTCTCCTGAAAAATTGCAGAATTATTCCAGTGATACTGTTATTGTTCTCCAGTCAACCTATTTTGTCTCCAAAGGACTCCAATTAAGTACTCTTAATTGCAGTCTGTGCAAATAATTGTGTGTAAGTGGGCAGGGAGGGATGTTGGGGTTGAAGGGGGGTGGGGGTTTGGTGTATGTGTACTGTTATATATTTATACCTATATGTGTGTAACAACAGAGATGTGTAAATGCGCCAATGCATTCACACATTTAGGGAACATGGGCACAGGTTGGGTCGGAGGCCATTTTGGCTCCGATTGTTCTTCCTTGTGGTTCTCGGCTCTCACAGTTGCTTAGCAGCAGATGGCCCTCATTGGATAGCTGTGCTGTCTCGTAGAGTATCATTGGAAAAACAGGAGACGCAGGGACTCACCCAGTCAAGTTTCTGTCCTCAAGCAAATGCCCTTGCACTTGCAAATGCATGCACTGATAAAATGTGCAGCAGACTTAACACATGCACACTCAACAGTCATTTAATATAGCACACACTTATCAGAGGACTCATGCCCTCAATTTGAAATTCACTGACTTGACTTATTAGGATACACTGATCAGATCTGTATCTAAAAGAATTATAGTGACACCTATTCTTCCTTGCCTTAACTTTGATCCGTCTCAGGGAACATTAGGTAAAACCTGGACTAAATCCAGTCCAGCTCTAATTGGCTGTTGTCTATGGAGCTCTCTCAACCCCCGCCCCCCAACCCCTCACCCCCTCCCCTTCCCAGAGGTTCAGGCACAGCACACTTCACCCCTCACCCCCTCCCCTTCCCAGAGGTTCAGGCACAGCACACTTTAGCAAGGACACATACATTTCTCATCCTCTCATCCTGACTGGCTCTCCACAGAGGCTGCTGCGCATGGATCTGCCGGTTGCGGATGACAACACGGTGCATTTTAACTCAACCCTCATGGCTCTGATCAGGACAGCCCTGGATATAAAGATTGCCAAGGGTACGACCCTAAAGTACTATCATCCCTTTACTGTTTATCTCAGTTACTTTCCTGTCTGACATTATTGGGTATTCTTGGGTAATTCATGTGTATGACTTTTCACCTCTCAATTTCTGTGTGTTTCTCTTCAACAAGAATGCCCTAGATTATTGTAGCAAATGCGACTAAACTCTGACACTAACAAATTACTTTCTTGTTTTGGGTGAATGTGTACACGCGTGAATGGCTAAATATATTTCTTTTGGCCTTTTGGTCTGTACCTCCTTTGCCCTGTGTTAATGTGTGTGGGGTGTTTGCATATACTTGGACGTATGCTTTTGTGCTGTCTGTGTGTACAAATGTTTGATGCGTGTGTGTGTGCATGTGTGTGTGGGCACTCTGGGTTGCGGGGCTACCCAGGCGGTGCAGACAAGCACCAGATGGATGCAGAGCTGAGAAAGGAGATGATGGCTATTTGGCCAAACTTATCACAGAAGACACTGGACCTGCTGGTTACACCGCACAAGGGTAAGTCGCAGGAAAACAGAGCATAGTGGTGTGTGTGTGTGTCCGATCACCAACTCACCAAGAGGACAGCTTCCACCAGCCAGTGTCATTCACTGCTTCGCATCTCCTGATCAGGCTACTACAGCAGAAACACACATGCTGTACATGCATACACAAACATACATACAGTACATACACCAACACCAATATCGCCCCAAGTAAAAAATAGGAGTTACTAGTGTAGTGACAGTGACATGACCCCTCACTGGCTTCCCACCCATTAACACAGTCATTTGTGTTTGTTGGAGGGCCTGTCTAAGGCAGAAGTACTGTTGCAGCACAGCTGGTTAAATGACTTGTTGTAATTACCGCTAAGCCTAGAGGCTATACTAGCCACTAACAGGCAACAACATATAATGAATGCCCTAGTTACCAACAACAAGAAAGGTTGCAGGCCTGTATGAACCCTGGTGAGCTCAGCTCTCCTCCCACAGGTGCTTACCTCGTCCGTGCATCATTGCACAGCACATGGTTGGCAGCCGGGCTCTGCATCTTCTTACTTCGCCAACTTTGCACTGAGCTTGCCGTCAGTTTCAGTTCATTTAGGCTGACGAATAGACGCAAACAACTAACAAAAATAGGTCAGTCATCATTGTCCATCATGCTCACTAGTGTTGTGGTAAGACCCACCTTTTTGATGTTTGGCAACCAATCACTATAACAAAAGACAACCTGTGACTGACAGTACCACTACTGGGTATTGAACAGGGGGTTCTGCAATGGTGGTTGGGAATGTGGTCCCTATACCACCTGTTTACACTGCTAGCCCAGATTTAATAAAATATTAAAAACTTTTTTATGGATGGAGTCTTGCTAAACAGATCTTTCCACCAATGGTCAGATAGTGATAGATAGTTTTCAAGTTCAGATGGACAATACATCTTGTAACTAATTGGCTCAAGTAGTTCATACATTATTTGTGTTCAGATAAACATGCCACACAGGAATGCACCACACCACAAATGTACAGCAGGCACACTAGCACATTTGTGTACACAGACACATAGGATACAGTAGCGCACACACCTGCACTGCTGATCTTTCCACACATTCAGTCAGTCCTGGAATCAGGGGGTGCCTGCTATAGAAGATCCTCTATAGAAGTCTTTTCACTACAGGAAGAATTGAACAGCAAATAAACTAGTAAAATAGATCTAGACATTCATATAAAATGATTGTGATGAATGACTGTTTTCAGGTTTTCATCTGTTTAGAAGATTATTTAAATTATAGTGCTAGTGTAATGATGCATGTTTAGCATACCTGCAAGTTGTTTGCCTTAACGCATGGTAACTCTTAAGGTAAAAGATATGCATTGTCATGTCTTATTGCCCCATGATATAATAAGAAAATAAGATATGTGTGGTCATATCTTATCACACGTTAACATCAGTTTTGATGCTGCAAGACTTGTAGCCATGCCACTTTGAAAAGGGCACCACTCATTCAGTGAGAAAGTTTTTTGACAACCAAAACAAAGCTCAGTATTTTTCTGATTTTAAATGTCTATGTTTTCCATCCAAACTCTGGGGATACATGTCCAGAGTTTTTAGAAAAAAATTGAGCTCCTGTTTTCCAGGGATCTCTTGTTGGAGGTGTCAAAGGGTTTCTTAGTGAGGTGGCTACCTAGTCCTCAGCCTTAGTATAATGTCTAAAAGTGAAATATATTTAAGCAAAATAATGAAAGAATGTCACAATGTATAGGTACAGCATCTGCCTGTGAAAAGACTATTGGCTTTGTTGTGTTAATAATTGTACAGTGTTGTAATATTGTATTTGTCTGTTGTACACCACCAAGTGAGCTCAGCTCTGTTTCAGTTGAGGCTTCACAGCGAATGTTGTTACATTGGGTATCAATTTTCCTTCAAGACAACAAAAAAGCAAATTAGTGTCTGTTCTGATGAGTATTTTTTGTTTAAATGCTCATCACAGCTCCCAAATTTGGTAATTTCCATATTTTCTTGGAACCAATCTGCCTGCCGCACTTACAGTGCTCAGCAAACCAACAGACCATGTCCCTTACCTCTTTGCCTTGCTTTATTATACATACAGGTGTACATAATATCATTAGCTTTAGATTTTTAGGCATGAAAATCAGAATGATATAGTACCATCAATGCTGTAAATGAGCTTAGCCAATGAGAATGAGGTTGTCTTGCTCCATGGTTGCACGCAAGCATGAAAGTAAGTATGTTTGCATACATGGTATAATGAAACTTACAGTAACATGGAGGACTGGGAGATTGTGTGTGAGATGGAAGCTTACTTTATTGGACTTAAATTTACGTAGATTTACCTCTGTGCGTGAGGAAGAGGTAATTACATTAAAACACTTTTTTAGATTTTTCGCTTCTCCAACACAGTGTTTGTTTGCTCACAATTATTGGTCACCACTGACCCAATATTGTAAGTGAACTTACCTCGGTCAGCTGAAGTTGGAAATCAAACTGAGAAGTAAACATTTAGATATAATTCTTGGTTATGAAGCCCAGATCTGTCCATGGATTGACATGAAACAGAATTGTCCCAGTTGTTGGTGTAATTTGCATGCTATTGTGAATTTCTCTGTGGTTTGTGATTCAATGTGTGTGTCTCGTCCCCCACTCCCATTCCCCCCACGGCTCAGGGTCCCATCCCACTCGGGTCTAATCTTGCAGGGTAACTTGTCATTTTTTCAGCAGCCACAGACTTGACGGTGGGCAAAATCTACGCTGCCATGATGATCATGGAGTACTACCGGCAGAGCAAGACGAAAAAGCTGCAGGCCCTGCGAGAGGAACAGGTAGACTCCCTCCCAGAGAAATTCCCCGAACAAAAAAAGATCCCTATTTCCTTTTCCTTTTTTGGTTTTTCCTCCTCCTGGCCCTCTTTTTCGATACTGCTTCTAGCCTTTGGACTGAACTTTGCCTGTCAAATATGGATTTAAAAGCATAAGAACTATGTCTTATACATTTAAATCCTATATAAACTCCCAGCTACACTTCCAAACAAAACTCCTACCTCCCTCTCAGCCTGTGCTGTACCCTTTATTAGCATGCTACCTGAAAGTCTGCGTCTTTTTTCTAGCACCGTGTTGCTCCCTTGGTCAGCCTTATTCCATTTACAATGCTTGCTAACAGAGGTATCTAGCTGTTATACTTTCAAGCTAGTTATCAACCTTTCCCCTTCCAGCTGCTTCAAGTTTTCTTTTCACCGTGGGCTGTTTGAAGGTGGTGAGGAGGATTAGGTGAAAGGTTTTCCAATTAACAACTATGGTTTTCGTTGTTGGTAATGTTCTGAACAATGATGATGATGATGATACCACATGGCCTTACCTTTTGTTTCCTGTCAGTGCTCTTTCCCTCCTGTCGATGAATGCCTTTGAGATGCACTCGCTTCCGCTGTCTCTGTATTTTCAGTCCGCACTTTGGACGTGTTGAAACATCTCTCCACTCATGTAATACCTCTGTTCGCTCTAGCAAGTCATCCAGTTGGTTCAGCACTTGATCCCAAATTTTACATGACATAAAAAGAGTCCAAATTTTCTCATGGAATGGGGGCAGCCTCGTCCATATTGACTGACACATATTTCGTGAGGTGGGTTTTCCATTTCTCAGAATGGAGTGCATTGGTGGATGGAGAGTATGTTATTCTTTTTTCTTTCAAACTGCAAAGACAGTATGTGTTGGTATGTTCCTGAATGCAGCCATCCCATTGGACTGAATGGACAGGTGCACACAGACTCTCTCAACATCAGCAGTACACAAGACTTTAACCAGTCTGTGTGTCTGTCAGTTTGCCACCTATGCAGTATCTCACTTCATTCTTCTTGTCTTCCGCAGTGGCCTTTTCTTTTAATAATGCTATATCACTTTGAAGGAAGAATCCACCCAAAAACAAAAAATATCAAGTGTAACATCCTGGACCTCAGCAATCATACAGGGAAAACTCAAATGTATCTGTGGTTGGGATCACAGACACACCCCAGTGTTCACAAATTAGTTAGATATTTAGTATTTATGTGTATGATTCAAACAATAATGGTAACAAATATATCTATATATTATAATAAAACATGCACATTTTATAATATAGGTTTAGTTATAATTACTATAAAGTCCTTATTGCAATAACATAATAATAAACATGAGGATGCTAGTCCTCCTTTGCATCACACATGTGAATATTATATAGCAACGTCTCATGGTATCATAGCAGAAAATGGAGAAAGCCAGATTGTGGAAGCAAAGACTGAAATTAAAACAACAGAATTGTAGTCATTGCCCAAAAGTATTTAGTAAGAATTATGGAGATCAGTAAAAGAGGCTGCAGAAAAAGTGCCAGGAGAAAATTGTGAGAATATGCTGAAAATGGTTTAAAGACCACCACTCACAGGAAATTACAAAATAACTCCTGGTCTCAGTAACAGTAAGTGAAGGGGTGGATTTTTTCTTTAATTTACTCATTTGATGTGCTCTCCTTCACCGTTCCTCATCCTTCTGTGTACTCCTCGCACCTCGTCGCATACCACCTGTCCTCTCCAGTGTTTGTTGCGCTGTTGTTGTGTCTGAAATATTATGTTGTTTCCTCTTTGTCTGCTGTCTCTGTTCATGCATTTTCCTGTTTCTTCACGCTGTTTTGGCGTCAGTTGTCTGTAATCCCCCGTTCCTGTCTTCCATGTCGTCTCTGTCGTTCTGATGCGTTCCCTTTATCCTTCCAGGAAGAGATGAGACCTTGACTTATCAAGCTCTCGCTGTTTGGTCAATCCAGGTCGATTGTCACCAAGTTGCTCTAACCAAGACCCATTCTCTCCAGTCTGTGTGTTCATGAAGCTGTCTGTTTGCCTGTCTGTCTGCTGTGGTGGTTGATGGGATGTTGGGTGGAGGTTCCTGTGACCAGTGGCAAACAAGACTGTCCAGAGACGAACTTGAGTCATTTACCTCCGTGGCACAGGAGATGATGTCTGGACAGGATTAGACAAACCTCTGACAGAATCTACATTTTCTGAAGCTGTGCTTCTCTGTCTGATTATTTATGTCACAAATATTCAAAGGAGGAAATAGGCTTTCTGTTGGCTTTCAATCCTAATCTACAGCTCCCTAATAGTGTGAATTGCTGATCGCTAACTAAATGTCTGAACAAGCAACTTGGAGGCTTCAACAAAGTCCACAGTCATGATGAATTTCTGATCTTTTTTTAAATAATATTTTTAAATGCTTAACTACAGGAAGCTGGATCACAGATCAGCTTCTTGAATGCACAAGGCAACAAAACGTAGTTGCACTGCGTAGATCTACTGCAGAAATATAATTCTAGCTTAAGCCAACTCCCCTGAAACGACAATGTAGTTCAATTGAGCACAGATTGGGCTAACAACGATTTGTTAATAAATCATCCACATCAACACACTTGCTTAATACCTTTGGCCTAATGAGAATATCTACACCGACATCCCAACAGTCCAATCCCCCATGACGTCAATATACATACATTTGTTATTAGAGATTTAGGAAGCAACTGAAAAGCCTCTATTACCACCTTTATGACCAAGTAACTTTCTAAAGATCTGTTTGACTGATAAAACTTTAAGTATCTTTTTCATTTTTCATGTATATTGTAGAAAGACAAGCTTCCTGTCCAGCAAATCAGCCTGATGTGTCAGAGGAGGTTTGGACGTGTATCTGTTTCTGAACAGGCCTTGAACCATCTGCACTCATTTAGCATTCAGCCTTTAGCTTCCAGGCTGTGGTGGGACATGATACAGGCTGTAGCAGTCATGAGCCGTCGCCACTCCTGAGAGGACTCCATTACCCAGGATCTCCTGGGAGGGAACCTGACTCACCTCTGACCTGATGGAAGCAGAATTTGCTAGTTCAGGATCAGATGTTTACCCACAAAACGGCATATTACTCAAAAAATATTGGCAGATGGATCACACAGATTGCCAAATAATGATTTTTGAGTAAAATGTCTTTTTTGATGATGTGTTTCATGAATGTAGTAATCTGGTCCAAGACCTGTGATTTAAGAGCAATCTTACCTCAAATGCCTAAGGTAAAAGTTTCCCTCTGACACAGATCTGAGATCAGCTTTTCCTTGCTGAACACCAACCCAAACTAACATAAAGGAAAAATAATCTTAAAGCTAGCAGTGTTCCTTTAAACACTTGTTCAGTGTGCTTAGCAGATCCCAGATCAGTAGTCTGGCAGGGAACTTTACCTTGGATACCCACAGCCATGTGCTTGCCGATGGCGCCCCCGTGTGGGTGCATGCTGCGAGTGCATCCTGTGTTTGTGTCCTGTGTCTGCCCCCTGAGTGTGCCTGATGCCAGCCTGCAGGCCATGTCGTGTATCTCACACAGAACCGAACGCCATTAATGTTTCAGCGCATGGAGCCGCCCTCTGAGGGAGGGGGCACAGACGGCCAGGGGGGCCAAGGCCTGAACGGCCTCCCCAACACCCAGCCGGACAACCTCAACAGCATGTGAGTAGACTGGCCATGGGCAGGAACCTTTATGTGGCACATTTAAAGGCATGAGGCAGCAGCAAATATGTATATACTTTCCCACACACATACATGTTTTAGTTATCTATGCATTCAAAATATATAGTATATGCACTATATGCACACATAATTTGGGGGCATCTTGCTTCTTTTCAAGAGCAATGTTTTATAAATGTTACATAATACATCAGGAAAATAACTTGACTTGCACCAACTCAACCTCCACTTCAATTCAGTACTGGTTGTTTTAGAAATATAATCAGGAGGTGTAACTTTTAGGTTCAAGACATATTTAAATTGAAATTATAGTAAAATGTTTGTTGTGAAAACAAATACATACAATTTAACTTCACATCTGAATGAAAAGTTGAGTGAACTAAAGGTTCTCGCATATATACAATACAATACAATAGTACAGTATCTTCTTTATCTAACTTCCTTGGCTTTGGACTTCTTTGACCGTGTTTTTTTAATTGTTTCTTCCCCTTGCTATGTGTCGGAGTGTGTGTGTGTGTGTGTTTGTGTGTGTGTGTGCTTTTCTGTTTCCAACAGCCTACTCTGCCTTTGTGTGAGAATTACGTGGGCAAAATTTTTTTTTAAAAATGTGAAATTGTACAAGTATTGTTTATCAGTGTGAAATTGAGCCAAATTGGCATAGTTGTAATGGTTTAGAAATGAACAAATCTGTGTGTGCGTGTGTGTGTGTGTGTGTGTGTGTGTGTGTATGTGTGTATGAAAGAGTGCAAAAGCAAGTGTGTATGTTACTAAGTAAATTCTGTTGTCCCAGTCTTAGTCTTAGTCTTAGCCACAGAAGAAATTTTAAGACAGTTTTTGACTTTTGTCTTGCGGGTTGGTGAGGTCATGTGGTCTGTAGCAACATACTGTAGCATGCTAGCATTTGTAATGCTAAACTTAACGTGTTAGCATCCTAATATTATCTTTGCAGGGGTTACAAAGTACAGGGGAGACTGATGAAAGTTTAGTCAAATGCAGTTGTCACAATGTTTTGACATGTCATGAGACGGGTACTGTACAGATAATACGCGTTTATTATTTAGGGTACATTTAGGTTATTATTTATTTCTTTTGGCACCATCCTGGAGGCCAAATGTTAGTGTAGAATTATTTGTTTAATTGAAATAAGCTATAAATTAGTAGGCTTTACCTAAAAAAATGAAATGTCATCTCTGGTTTCACCATTATATCTGCTTTCATTTTCAATTAACACTAGATTTTAAGACATCCTTTGGCATAGCAAAGGTCATCTGTATCAAGAAAAGTCGTCTGTCTCAAGAAAACATTGGTCAAAGATGTATCACTACTGTGAATTTCCTCAGTCGAAGACCTCCCTGATTTGTAATCCCCTGACTTGTGTGTATGTGCGGGTGCCAGACCTCCCGAGGGTGGCATGACTGAGAGCCAGTCGTGGGTGACGGCCAAAGCCCAGAAAATGTTCCAAAATACGGGTAACTGGAGCCCCGACAGACCCTACCCCGACGATCTCCATGACAACCGTCACAACCCGCAGGTATGATGAGCACAAACACACATGTCCTATTCACGATGCTGGTGGGAAACATTCCTCAGGATTACTGCGGTTGCAATGCATATATTGAAGACATCTCTACGGCATCACACTTATCACACAGTCATAAAACCTGACAAAAATGTATTTAAGTAAAACAACGATCTCTACCTTTCAATGATCTACAACTGGAGGCGCAAACACAGTTCTCTTTTTATCTGAATTACCTCACATTCTTTTGTAACATATTGACACCAATTAATATAATATTCCCTACTTTATATATATTTTTATCATTTAAATTGTCATAAATTGAATTTTAGTCACCTACCTTAGTTCCTTAAATAAAAGGTGAAATAATTTAAAGTTGTAGATCTCAATACTCTGAAATAAGATAAATTAAAGCAAGTTTAAGGCAAATCTTTTATTATTCATATCTGACCTCAAAGGTGGTTGGATAGACATTTGATCACTCAGAATCCATGGGGCGTAATGTGTTTCATGATAAAAAACATGAGAACAATGCCAGACGTAAACCCAGTTTCTTCACAGAATTGTGCTATTTGAGTTTCCTTGCTGTAGAAAAGATTGAGAACTATCTAATCTACTCCACTCTGTCATCCCTAAACACCAAGTTCTTAGCAACCTCCATTAAATTTGATCTTTTCTGTATTTGAAGTGCTGGATTTTGCTGCTGTTACTCCAGCGTACAAGACTGTAGTGTCTCTCTGTTCTTTGAGCTCTTTTCTTTTTGCGGACCCGTCTGTCTCTTTCTTCATCTTCCTGCTCGAAGTCCACATCGACCGTATTCTCTTAGTCTTACCATCCTCCTATTCCTTGATTTTCCCTGTTCACTCTTCAACCTCCTCTTGAGTCACTGGCTTGGAGTTGGTACATTTGTTTTGTGATGTACACCTTCTCCTCCTCACTGCCCCCTTACTTTCACTTGTCTGTTGGGCCGTCCCTACTCCCGAGCCCCTCATCTCTCTCTTCAATCCCATGACTAATGTACAAAGATGTATGTGGATTTGGAGTTGTGCCATGTACTCTTTTCAAAAAAAGATTTGAGATATCTTCCTGGCCCAGTTTTGGATTCTTGGGTTTGCAGGTTCATGCCAGAAAGGTCCCAATGTTTCCGAGGATGCTTTTCCCAATGGTGAGGTCTTGGTTCAGGCTACTCTTATCAATACCAACCTCATCTAAAGGTTTCAGAGGCTCAACAGTAATTTATTAAGGTTGCAACTAGGGCTGTCACAATGTCAGATTTTCACTATATGATTATCATGGCCTAAAGAATTCCTGATAATGTTATTATTGCGATATCTATAGAAAATTTGAAAAAAAGTCAAATAAATAATAATATCATTCAAATTTATCTTTGGCTTTTATTGTGTTTTGTCTCTTTTTGGCAAAGGAACACTGGCAGCCAGTGTTAAGTTGCATTACTGCCACCTACTGTGTATCAATATTTCATTTTAAAATCAATACAGGTATATCACGACAGCACTAGTTTCAACAGTTAATTTATGCAACAATAAGTTGCATAAATGAAGACAGAATTGTCTTTAATGCTTGAAATTGAAAAGAAAGACAAAAAAGGAACATGATACACTTTCTCAATACATTACATTACCGAATGTATTTCATGTCCCTTCCACCTCAGTTAGCACCTTCCTCGATTAATCAAAAACGCCTCCCCCCTGCCAGAGTCCCCTCCCCTCAGCAGACAGTGGTCACGCCCCCCTCTCGTTGTGTTTTACAGACGGTAGAGATGAGGGAGATGGGGCGGGACGGGTACTCCGACACTGAGCCCTATCACCCAATGGATGGGCATGGGCGGACCCTCTCCATGCCCCGCCTCTCGGCAGACAACCAAGTGAGCACCTTCATCTCACCATCATCACCAACATCATCATCATCATCATTCTCCATTACTATGCTTGTTAGCAGTGCTGACAGTTGAAGTGAATTAAAGAAGTCTCTCCTTGCATCCAAAGCGGAGAGTCAGAGAACTGAGTCAGAAATAAAGCAAAACCTTGTTTTTTTAAATACCAAACAAATATGTACAGATATGTGAGAAAATATATATCTATTGATTTGTTTTGGCATTTCTTCTCTCTTTACATTTTTACACATTAGTGTCAACTAGTTCTTTTTTTAAATAACTTTTATTTTAATATTTACTCAGAATATATTTAATACATTTTGATCAAATAATTTCAATATCATACTTTTGTGTTATGTTGTTTTTATTGTGGCTCTAGTTCTCTGCATGGAAAATTTCCTGACGAATGTTTGGACAGGATGCAAAGTGGCAGTGAGACTTTTGTAAATTCACTTCCCTCTGTCTGGCCCCCTAGTTATTTAGTCTTCCCTCCCTCCCTTCCTGCCACCATCCCTCCACCTCCCCCTCCCTCACTCTTACCCCTCCACTCATCCAGCAGCCGACCCACTGCTGCTCAGCTCCCAGAGTGCTCCTCTCTGAGCAGTACAGCCAAGTTGCATGCCAACACTGGAGCAGCAAGCAAAATGGGCTGGAGGGCTGGATAAGTGTTCTAGATATGTATGCAAATATATATCTAGAAGATCTATATGTATAGAATATTTTGTCACGTATGCTATTCCCTACTCCATTTCCATTTAATCCTTGGTGTGTCTGTCCTGTGTAAACTGTGGCCAGAGTGTCTGAGAAAGTACAAAAGACTCATTAAGACGCTAAAGCTGTAAAATCTTCCAAACAAATACAACCACATGGTGCATAAACTGTATATAAACAGACATTTTATGGATCTCAGTGTCAGTTGGAGAAAGCGATGCTCAAACTGACAATTCTTGGATGTGTGTGAGACAGAAAAAGAGAGGGGTGTGGCAGAAGTCACTGTAGATGATTTCATGCTTTTAATTTATGATTTTGAGGGTAAAAATCCCAATTACCTGCACACTGACTTTGAAATCTAGTCGCACAAATTTCTCCAGGTTTGGTAGCTTTATACTGCTTGGTCAGTGGCCCTCCAGGTCCGTATATGGAGGTGGGGAGGTGGATGGATGGGTCAAACAAACACAGGACATTATTGTACTGAAGTCACGTCAGGTAGGCTACGTTTTGTTCTTGTACTTGAGTTACATCAGGTCCGTAACAAACTTATAATATTTTTTGAAACCTAAGGACGTCGTTTTTGAGCCTAAACTTAACCAAACTGCAACAGTTTTACAACGCTGACCGTGCATGCTTTATTTTGAAAGTCTAACCCGACGTTGCATATATACTCTTGTTAACTTGACTGTGGAACCCTGTGTGTCCAGAAATGGCGCGAAAGGGGCATCTGCGGAGTTTTGAAGCGGAGGGCCACTGACCAAGTGGCAGTATTTGACAAGTTGGGAGTGAGAACGTGTTGCTTTATCTGTTTATTAGGGTTATAACAGTTACAGTACCAAAAAAAAGTGGTGGATGATACAAGGACATAGCTTGTCCACGGTCCACTGGATGCTAATCTGTTCTCAGTCTAAGTTTGCAAGGGATATAAAATGCCAAAACAAATAGTTTCTGAAGAATGTAAGGAAAGGAAACCCTTGCTCACATCCTGTGGGCAAATTTTTTCAAAAACCTGCTCTGTTCTTACAAGTCAGTCGCTGTGTGCTTTCAGACCTTGGGTTGCAAATTGATTACTGCTCAACTTTGTTTTGTGCTTTCTCTGTATATATATCAGTAATGAACTGGTTGTTACGGTCACCGTTTTAAAACGAGATCACAAATCGAG